AAGTTACGTATTGCTTGGCTAAAGTGTTGATTTAGTCTATGAACGTATGATATTTAAAGTGCTGTGTGTATGTTGATTTAGTCTATGAACGTATGATATTTAAAGTGCAGTGTGTATGTTGATTAGTATATGAACGGATGATATTTAAAGTGCTGTGTATGTTGATTAGTCTATGAACGATGATATTAAAAGTGCTGTGTGTATGTTGATTTAGTCTATGAACGATGATATTAAAAGTGCTGTGTGTATGTTGATTTAGTCTATGAACGTATGGTATTTAAAGTGCTGTGTGTATGTTGATTTAGTCTATGAACGTATGGTATTTAAAGTGCAGTGTGTATGTTGATTAGTATATGAACGTATGATATTTAAAGTGCTGTGTGTATGTTGATTAGTATATGAACGTATGATATTTAAAGTGCTGTGTGTATGTTGATTTAGTCTATGAACGTATGATATTTAAAGTGCTGTGTGTATGTTGATTTAGTATATGAACGTATGGTATTTAAAGTGCAGTGTGTATGTTGATTAGTATATGAACGTATGATATTTAAAGTGCTGTGTGTATGTTGATTTAGTCTATGAACGTATGATATTAAAAGTGCTGTGTGTTGTTGATTTAGTCTATGAACGTATGATATTAAAAGTGCAGTGTGTATGTTGATTAGTCTATGAACGTATGATATTAAAAGTGCTGTGTGTATGTTGATTTAGTCTATGAACGTATGATATTAAAAGTGCTGTGTGTATGTTGATTAGTCTATGAACGTATGATATTAAAAGTGCTGTGTGTATGTTGATTAGTATATGAACGTATGGTATTTAAAGTGCTGTGTGTATGTTGATTTAGTCTATGAACGTATGATATTAAAAGTGCTGTGTGTATGTTGATTAGTATATGAACGTATGGTATTTAAAGTGCTGTGTGTATGTTGATTTAGTCTATGAACGTATGATATTTAAAGTGCTGTGTGTATGTTGATTAGTATATGAACGTATGGTATTTAAAGTGCTGTGTGTATGTTGATTTAGTCTATGAACGTATGATATTTAAAGTGCTGTGTGTATGTTGATTTAGTCTATGTATGATATTTGTATTTAAAGTGCAGTGTGTATGTTGATTAGTATATGAACGTATGATATTTAAAGTGCTGTGTGTATGTTGATTAGTATATGAACGTATGATATTTAAAGTGCTGTGTGTATGTTGATTTAGTCTATGAACGTATGATATTTAAAGTGCTGTGTGTATGTTGATTTAGTATATGAACGTATGGTATTTAAAGTGCAGTGTGTATGTTGATTAGTATATGAACGTATGATATTTAAAGTGCTGTGTGTATGTTGATTTAGTCTATGAACGCAGATGACATTTTAAAGTGCAGTGGCGTTGGATTAGCATATGAACGCATGGTATTTAAAGTGCAGTGTGTATGTTGATTAGTCTATGCGAACGTATGGTATTTAAAGTGCTGTGTATGTTGATTAGTCTATGAACGTATGGTATTTAAAGTGCTGTGTGTATGTTGATTTAGTCTATGAACGTATGATATTTAAAGTGGCTGTGTGTATGTTGATTTATTCATGAACGATGATATTAAAAAGTGCTGTGTGTATGTTGATTTAGTCTATGAACGTATGGTATTAAAGTGCTGTGTGTATGTTGATTAGTATATGAACGTATGGTATTTAAAGTGCTGTGTGCATGTTGATTTAGTCTATGAACGTATGATATTTAAAGTGCTGTTGATTTAGTCTATGAACGTATGGTATTTAAAGTGCTGTGTGTATGTTGATTTAGTCTATGAACGTATGATATTAAAAGTGCAGTGTGTATGTTGATTAGTATATGAACGTATGGTATTTAAAGCGCTGTGTGTATGTTGATTTAGTCTATGAACGTATGATATTTAAAGTGCTGTGTGTATGTTGATTTAGTCTATGAGCGTATGATATTTAAAGTGCTGTGTGTATGTTGATTTAGTCTATGAACGTATGATATTTAAAGTGCTGTGTGTATGTTGATTAGTGGATGAACGTATGATATTTAAAGTGCTGTGTGTATGTTGATTTAGTCTATGAGCGTATGATATTTAAAGTGCTGTGTGTATGTTGATTTAGTCTATGAACGTATGATATTTAAAGTGCTGTGTGTATGTTGATTTAGTCTATGAGCGTATGATATTTAAAGTGCTGTGTGTATGTATATTTAGTCTATGAACGTATGATATTTAAAGTGCTGTGTGTATGTTGATTTAGTCTATGAACGTATGATATTTAAAGTGCTGTGTGTATGTTGATTTAGTCTATGAGCGTATGATATTTAAAGTGCTGTGTGTATGTTGATTTAGTCTATGAGCGTATGATATTTAAAGTGCTGTGTGTATGTTGATTAGTGTATGAACGTATGATATTTGGTGGTGAGGGTGATGATGGCAGTGGTGGTGATAATGATGGTGTTGGTAATGGGTGGTAGTGGTGATGACAGGGGTGGTAGTGGTGATGACAGGGGTGGTAGTGGTGGATGACAGGGGATGGTGGTGGTGGTGATGACAGGGGTGGTGGTGGTGGTGATGACAGGGGTGGTGGTGGTGGTGGATGACAGGGGTGGTGGTGGTGGGATGGTGGTGGTGGTGATGACAGGTGGTGGTGGATGGTGGTGGTGGTGATGACAGGGATGGTGGTGACAATGAAGGAAGGAAGAAGAGGAGGGGAAGGAAGAAGAGGAGGGGAAGAAGAGGAAGGAAGAAGAAGAAGAGGAAGGAAGAGTAGGGAGGAAGGAGGAGTAGGGAGGAAAGAGGAGGAAGGAAGAAGAGGAGGAGGAAGGAAGAAGAGGAGGAGGAGGAGGAGGAGGAAGGAAGAAGAGGGAGGAGGAAGAAGAGGAGGAGGAAGGACGAAAGAGGAGGAGGAAGAAGAGGAGGAGGAAGGAAGAAGAGGAGGAGGAAGGAAGAAGAGGAGGAAGGAAGAAGAGGAGGAGGAAGGAAGAAGAGGAGGGGAAGGAAGAAGAGGAGGGGGAAGGAAGAAGAGGAGGAAGGAAGAGAAGGAGGAGGGAAGGAAGAAGAGAAGGAGGAAGGAAGAAGAGGAGGAGGAAGGAAGAAGAGGAGGGGAAGGAAGAAGAGGAGGGGAAGGAAGAAGAGGAGGGGAAGGAAGAAGAGGAGGGGGAAGGAAGAAGAGGAGGGGGAAGGAAGAAGAGGAGGGGGAAGGAAGAAGAGGTGGAGGAACGAAGAAGAGGAGGGGGAAGGAAGAAGAGGAGGGGGAGGAAGGAAGAGGAGGGGGAGGAAGGAAGAGGTGAAGGAGGAAGGAAGGAAGAACGACCCCCCACATTACCTGGAGACAAAATCAATGAACTCTGGTTGCCACTGGTCAGGTTCTCGGAATGATGGTGGGGGTTTGGTCGGGATCATGAAGATGGCGCGCATGGGGTGGATGTCTCCGTAGGGGGGCTTACCCTCCGCCATCTCCAATGCTGTTATACCTGCAGGACGGAGAACTTGCAACATCAAGGTCGTGGAATGCATCTGCGCTCCCTATTAATACGGTCTGTCCTCGCAAATTTGTGTCTCAAAAGTCCATTTTTCCGCACATCCTCACATCTTCATAAGCATCCCCCAATTGTCATGTTTATCGCTTCTTTATGTTTATTTGAGAAAAAAATAATTGCAATACATTATGTTATTCTAATGTAGGTTAGAAATAGAGAAAAAATACAGTACAGTGGTCCCTCGGTTAACGAAAAGTTCGATTAATAAAATTTTGGTTAACAAATTAGCTCCCATTAAAATTTTCAGTTCGATTAATGAAAAAACTTTGATAAACGAAATCCTTACGACAAACACGCCTTGTTGTGCGCATCAGCTGATCGGCCAGTCCGCCAATACAGTAATCGGTACTATGTTTACATTCGTTTCCAGTGGAGTAAATATCAAGAAGGTTGTCTTCTTGAATATTTTTGCATTTATTATATTAAGATTATTAGTCATTTTAAAATTTAGTTAACATATTGATAATTGTATGTGTATTATGTATGTTGTATGTATACCATGTATGTACCCTACTTATATACATTACTTCTCTCGTCAGTAGCGTGTGGCAATGCCCCCGTTTCATGTCACCACACGCTTAGATAATATGCCTGGCGACATCTGGAAGCTGCTAATGCACCACTTACCACATGTCGCCTGAGAGGTCAGAGAGAGGTCAGTTGACCCATATAGGAGTGTAGGGACTACCTGTGCTTGTAAGCGCACCCTTGTATATTTCCGTTGAATAGAACCTACAGAACTCTACAGGTGTTTATGTTCGCTCCTGTAGTTAGAACCAAGTACCCCGAACACCTCCAATAATATATGCAATACAGGGAACTAGTTTTTTGTGTGCCCATCAGCCGCCTGACTCACCCACCAAAGCGTCTCTGTTTAACTTTGTTTACGGTGGAGGAAACATGGTGTTTGTCGCTCTCTTGAATACAGAGTACTTTTATGTTTTTACATTAAAATTCTTGGTCATTCTGAAATTTAGTTAACATATTGATAATATATAGTGCAGTGCAGTGTTGATTTAAATAAAATAATCTTTAATTACAGCGAGTGAACTTAAAATTATATTGGTGAAATTACTTCATGAAGCATGGGTGAGAAAGATGATTCCCCTCAGTGTTCCTCTCCAAAAAGGAAAGAGGATTTTCATGTAAGAGAATCTGTCAGTACAGAGGTTCCTGACATTATTATGGAAGGTGACTCGCCTTCCAAGAAGCATTAAAATGTTTCTCTTCTCCCGTCTCCTCCTCCACCCCCCATTTCTAATTCCCATCATCATCATCAACCAGCAACATTCTACATACACACCTCAAAGTAAGTGTACTGTACTGCATTTTGGTTATACTTTGTATGTACTTATCTGTGAGTTGGAACCAATTACCCAATATCCCATTGAAATAATAGATTCGGTTAACGAACGACTCTGTGGAACGAATAGTGTTCATCAACCGAGGGACAACTGTATATATATAAAACTATAACATAAGAAAAATATAGATCATTGGTGTGTATGTATGGGAAGAGAACATATGTATTGAGACGGAGCTGTAACTGCATCGTCGACTCGCCAGCCCAGCGACCAGGCACGCTCCCTTCCCCAATGTGACATCACAACAGAGCACAGCGTGGCTGCAGCCCACAGTATGGATGGGTTGAGTGTGGAAGGAGCTGAGGTATATTCTGTACATAAAATATTTACTACTATACCTTATGACATACTATGTATCAATTTTATTGTTTATTATAGCAATTTTGATCATTTGTGATGTATGCAATTTGAAATTTGTTCAAATTAGGCCAACCTTGTACAGTACTCACTAGATCATTTAACTCAAAACCACAATAGTGTGGAATAAAGTGTTAAAGAGCAGTCCAATAAATATGGCAGTAGTTTAAGTTTGAAACAATAAAGATTTATGTTGTACATTTGTATTCAGTTTTTAGCAAATGATCAGCAAATTTTCAAGTTTTTCATGTTTATTCCACACATCTGTGACTTTCAGAAATATGGCCACGGTGGGATGCCAATAAGCACAAATATGAGAGGTTAGCCTGTACTGTATATCACTAAATAGATTATAGTCTTCCTCCTAATATATCACTAAATATATTATAGTATTCCTCCTAATACAGTATAGCACTAAATATATTATAGTCTTCCTGCTACCAACAGTAATATCTCTGTTAGCTAGAATCCATCAAACCCAGAACTCTCCAATAACCAAAATTGAAATTTTCTCGGAAAATCATTCCCAAAACTTGGATTTTCTGGAAAATTCCAGCTTTTGGAACAAATTTCCGAGGGGCACATTTTCCAGAAAATTATCAAAAGATTTTCCCGATACCTAGAAAATTCCGGGGATGGGAAATATTTTTCCAGTTTCGAGAGATGACATAATGGGCAATTTCTGGAACTTCCGAGAACATTTTTCCGTTACCCGGAAAATTCTGGGGACGAGGGATTTTTTTTCCGGCTTCGAGAGAGTCGTCTCATTACCCGGAAATCTCTCATTCCCAGAAATGCCCTGCACCAAAAGTTCTGGCTAACGGAGATATCTCTCTATAACTACAGTAAATAGATAACAGAGTCTTCCTCCTAAATATAACACAGGTTAACAGAACCATCTTACACACAGCAAACAGAAGTAACGAATGAACCTGTCAATTTAGCCACTTGTTATAAAATATCATGAATCACTAATCCAAGAGAAAGGTAGAGAGCCATTCAGTATATTATGTACCATATACCGTGTAAGCTGTGGTCAAGCAAGAACAAGTGGATATCTGAAATTATCCGTGCCAGGTTTACCCATCGATTCTAAACTCATCCAATAAATAAATCCCCCCACCCCTTACTTCACAACACTGGGAGAGGATTTAAGTTAATACAAAAAGGGGATTTACAGTAATCCTGTCTATATAATCTCAAGGGAAGATTTAATAATACTAACAGATATATAGTTAAGGTCAACACAAAAAACGAGAAGTTTTAAACTCATCTTTATAAATACTAGGATTAAATATACTAGTTTGTCTTCAATGAAAATATCCTGAAAAAAAAAGGCTAATTCTGGTACATGATAATTATTCTTAATCTCTCCCTCAATTGCACTTCACACTTACCAAATGTCTCACTGTATGCACATACTTTCCCCTACCTTCTCATTAAGTCACTCACCTAAGCTCCATATATCAGCTACACAGTCGTAACCTATTTCCTGAATCACTTCTGGGGCCATCCAAAAAGGAGTTCCTATCACAGTGTTTCTTTTGGCCATTGTGTCCTGTAAAGGTGCAAAATATTAAACAAATAACTCATCTTAAATACAAACAATTCAGAGGCTACCCTGAACACACTTTTAAAGCATAAACATATAGGACAATTTTTCCCTACTCTTCAATGACCATGCACACCCAGTTTAGCAACACACCCATGGGGCAGTCATTCCATATCTGCCGTTACCAGTCAGAAAGCGAGTTAACAAAGGTAGAGTACAGTCGGCAACATCCTCGAGTGTAACTGACATAGCACAAGTGAATGGTCTTGGCCAACACCTCACTGCAACATTCCATAGCTTTGCCAACACCAACATGATTTATTAGACAGTTGAATATAACTCATTCGGACAGGTGGGAGTCTGGTAGCCAAGGTTAACACAAGAGGAGTTGGAGGGTTTTACCCGATACCTGTTTACGAGTTCACAGTCTTCCTCCTAAGACTTTAACCTCTTGTGTATGGGTCCTCCTCCGAGCTGAATACTGTATAATCGTTTAAATAAAATATCAAAGTAGCATCCCCATAGAGAAGAGGTTAAGGTCAAAACACATGTCGATGTAAAATTCCCAACGTCCACTTCTTCAGTCACAGAAAATTTTGCCAAAGATAAAAAATAATTCCCAATAAAAATATAATTATTAAAGAAGTAAGTTTGAAACACTGATGCATTACATTTCTGGTGTGATAAAAGAATAATGTTAGTAAAGTAAATTTTTCTTTTCTACATTCTAAAAATAAAACTGCTATACAATCCCTTACATGGAGAGTGTAGAAACACCAAGGACAAATCATAAAACAAAGTCCATTAATACAACACAGCTAATATACAACTCCAGTTTATATCAAGTTACTGTACTGTATATATGGTGTGGGAGGTGAGGGCAAGTGACCATCACTCGCTCTTAGGGATAACTTACGAGGGTTAAAATATCAACTTAATAATGTACTGTATATGTCTTGTGATAACACCAAGTAACCTCATCATAGTGTCACTTCAGTCCACAGTTTCTCTTTATGTAATTTGTAACTAAAGAATATTTCATTAATATTAGAGAAGTGAATTTTCCAATAATTATCGACCACAAGGAAAGAAAAAATAATCAGCTCAAATATATACAAATACTGTACAATATAAGCACAAAAAAGTTAAATAAATTAAAAATGTATAAAGTCAAACAATATAAAAAAAAATTAGTAAACAAATGACAACTACAGCATATATTTACCGACAGTTGACCCGCCACTCCAAAGTCGGCTAATTTGGCATGACCTTGAGTGTTGAGTAAGATATTTCCGGCTTTAATATCCCGGTGAATTTTCCGTCTAAGGTGGAGGTACTCTAGACCACGCAAGGTGTCGTATATTACAGTCGCTATTTCCTCTTCAGTGAGTGTCTTCTTCCGTAGCCTCATGATGTCAGATACTGAACCAGCACCACAGTACTCCATTACGATCTGGAAATAATAGGATACTTATCAATACCATGGTTGTAATGTAAATGCGGTCCAGATGATTAAACCCCTATTGCTAACCTAACAAAACCTAACCTAACCTAATACAGTACAACCAAACAAGACCAACACAACCGAACTTAACACAACCTAACCTAACCTAACCTAATCTACCTTAACCTCTAGCTTCCTTGAGAGCCGATCCATGGCAGTTGTTGTCGAGGGATCAATCTCTCGCTCTTTCTCTACCAATAATGGTGTCCCACAGGGTTCTGTTCTTTCACCCACTCTCTTCCTTCTTTTTATCAATGATTTAATTCACACTACAACTAATTCTCTCCATCCTTACGTTGATGATTCTACTCTTCACTCTTCCTCACATTTTCCCCTTCCTCCTAAATCTCAAACTAGATCTGTTTCTAGAGCTGATATCATTACATCTATCAATGCGGATCTGTGCAGCATCTCTGAATGGGGAGGTACAAACTTGGTTAAATTAAATAGTAATAAAACTCAGTATTTACCAATTACACTTTCTAAATTAGATGATCTCCCACCAATTACATTTCAGGACGCTATCATTCTGCCAAATTCCGAAATAAATATGCTAGGCCTCACCATTTCCTCCAATATGTCCTGGAAATCACACATCCTTAATATAGCTAAAGCTGCCTCCCGAAAGTTGGGAATGCTGTACAGATGCCGTAGCCACTTCACTCCTGAGCAGTTGCTCCAAGTATATAAGGGATTCATTCGTCCTAACTTGGTGTACTGCTCTCATATCTGGGGTGGCTCCTCTTCTGTCCAACTGTTAGATAGGGTGGAATCAAAGGCATTTCGTCTTATTAACTCTCCAGCTTTAGTTGACAATCTTTCTTCCCTTTCTCTTCACCACAATGTTGTTTCACTCTCTCTCTTTTACAGGTACTTTAACGGGCAATGTTCGGTGGATTTGGCATCCTGTGTACCGCCGGCAAGGCCGTGGGTTCGTAACACACGTCTTGCCCGCGGTGCCCACCGTTTCTCTGTGGATGTCGGTCACACTAGAATAACCCGTTATAGTGTATCCTTCCTTCCTCACACAGCCAAACTGTGGAATGCTCTGCCTTCTTCTGTGTTTCCACACTTATACAATCTGTCTCACTTAAAAAAGCTGGTTTTCCGGCATCTTCGTGGTGTAGATTAACACAATACTGTATAACCTTTTTCTTCGCTATTTTTAATTTCTTATTTTTTGCCCCCAGGCCCTATTGTGGGTCATTCGACCTGTGCCCAAGCCGGCTAATTCCCGTATAAAAACCCACACAATGTAGATTTAAATTACAAACAAGTCCCAACAGCCAACACCCACTAATCAGGCCCACCTACAGCTAACACCCACCAATCAGGGACATCTACAGCCAACACCCACCAATCAGGACCACCTACAGCCAACACCCACCAATCAGGGACACCTACAGCTAACACCCACCAATCAGGGCCACCTACAGCTAACACCCACCAATCAGGCCCACCTACAGCTAACACCCACCAAACATGGCCACCTACAGCTAACACCCACCAATCAGGGACATCTACAGCCAACACCCACCAATCAGGACCACCTACAGCCAACACCCACCAATCAGGGACACCTACAGCTAACACCCACCAATCAGGGCCACCTACAGCTAACACCCACCAATCAGGCCCACCTACAGCTAACACCCACCAAACATGGCCACCTACAGCTAACACCCACCAATCAGGGCTAACACCCACCAATCAGGGACATCTACAGCCAACACCCACCAATCAGGACCACCTACAGCCAACACCCACCAATCAGGGACACCTACAGCTAACACCCACCAATCAGGGCCACCTACAGCTAACACCCACCAATCAGGCCCACCTACAGCTAACACCCACCAAACATGGCCACCTACAGCTAACACCCACCAATCAGGCCCACCTACAGCTAACACCCACCAATCAGGGACACCCAGCTAACACCCACCAATCAGGGCCACCTACAGCTAACACCCACCAATCAGGGCCACCTACAGCTAACACCCACCAATCAGGGACACCCACAGCTAACACCCACCAATCAGGGACACCCACAGCTAACACCCACCAATCAGGCCACCTAAGGCCAACACCCACCAATCAGGGACACCTACAGCTAACACCCACCAATCAGGGACACCTACAGCCACACCACCAATCAGGACACCTACAGCTAACACCCACCCAATCAGGCCCACCTACAGCTAACACCCACCAATCAGGCCACCTACAGCTAACACCCACTCACCCCAGCTCACCTACAGCTAACACCCACCAATCAGGACCCATAGTTAACACCCCACCAATCAGGCCCACCTGCGCCAACAACACCCACCAATCAGCGCCTCCACCTACAGCCAACACCCACCAATCAGGGACACCTACAGTAACACCCACCAATCATGGCCACTCATAAGCCAACACCCACCAATCAGGACACCTACAGCCAACACCCACCAAACAGGACACCTATTAGTTAACACCCACCAATCAGGACACCTACAGCTAACACCCACCAAACAGGACACCACAGCTAACACCCACCAATCAGGATTACCTACAGCTAACACCCACCAACAGGGACACTCATAGCACACCACCAATCAGGGCCACCTACAGCTAACACCCACCAATCAGGCCCACCTACAGCTAACACCCACCAAAAATGGCCACCTACAGCCAACACCCACCAATCAGGGACATCTACAGCCAACACCCACCAATCAGGGACACCTACAGCTAACACCCACCAATCAGGGACATCTACAGCCAACATCCACCAATCAGGACCAAGGTTATAGAAACTTACCCATAAGTCAGAATCCTTGAAGTAGGAGCCGTAGTATTTGACAACATGATGGGAGTCACACTGCTGCATGATGGAAATTTCCTTAATTATCTCCTGAAGGTCAGTGTCAATAGGCACCTGCTTGATGGCCAGCACCTGCCCTGACTCTTTGTGGAGTGCCTTGTATACGCTGCCATAGGACCTGCAACCAAAACAAGGGTATATTAGAATATAACCAAAACAAGGGTATATCAGATTATGAAACATTATATATAGTATACTAATACCTATATACTGTACAGCGACCATCTAAGTTACAGTATATATGATTATGAAACATTGTAATAACAGTGTAAAATAATAATAATAATAAACGGTTTATTGAAAAAGTTTGCAGCTCGAAGGCTGAAAATATACATTGGACATAAATGACTTATTACATACATTGGTGGTTTAACAAAAGCCTTCATTAGAGAAAGGTGAAGGAACATATACAGTGAACATACAGATTAATGTTTACACACGTAGATCATGTAAGCTGAGGTGTTGAACAGCAGTGTAGTAACTCCCTCACAAATGGTGTTATGAGGGGCATCGTGTGGAGTACTAGTTCCCTCACAGGTGGTGTTATGAGGGGCTTGACGTGGTGTAGTAATTCTCTCACAGATGGTGTTATGAGGGGCCTGATGTGGTGTAGTAATTCCTTCACAGATGGTGTATGAGGGGCCTGATGTGGTGTAGTAATTCCTTCACAGATGGTGTTATGAGGGGCCTGATGTGGTGTAGGAATTCCCTCACAGATGGTGTTATGAGGGGCCTGATGTGGTGTAGTAGTTCCCTCACAGATGGTATGGTGTTGCTAAGGGGCCTGATGTGGTGTACTAGTTCCCTCACAGGTGGTGTGAGAGACCTGATGTGGTGTGTAGTCCCTAAGATGGTGTTATGAGGGGCCCTGATGTGGTGTACTAGTTCCTCACAGGTGGTGTTATGGGGGGCCCTGATGTGGTGTATTCCCTCACAGATGGTGTTATGGGGACCTGATGTGGTGTAGTTCCCTCACAGGTGGTGTTATGAGGGGCCTGATGTGGTGTGTCCCTCACAGATGGTGTTATATGAGGGGGCCTGATGTGGTGTAGTAGTTCCCTCACGGAGGAAGTGGTGTATGGGGGCCTGATGTGGAGTGTAGTAGTTCCCTCACAGATGGTGTTATGAGGGGCTGGCCCTGATGTGGTGTGTGGATTCCCTCACAGGTGGTGTTATGAAGGGCTTCACGTGGTGTAGTAATTCCCTCACAGATGGTGTATGAGGGGCCTGATGTGGTGTAGTAGTTCCCTCACAGATGGTGTATGAGGGGCCTGATGTGGTGTAGTAGTTCCCTCACAGATGGTGTTACGAGGAGCCTGATGATGTAGTAGTTCCCTCACAGATGGTGTATGAGAGGTCTGATGATGTAGTAGTTCCCTCATAGATGGTGTATGAGGGGCCTGATGATGTAGTAGTTCCCTCACAGATGGTGTATGAGAGGCCTGATGATGTAGTAGTTCCCTCACAGATGGTGTATGAGGGGCCTGATGATGTAGTAGTTCCCTCACAGATGGTGTATGAGGGCCTGATGTGGCGTAGTAGTTCCCTCACAGATGGTGTTATGAGGGGCCTGATGGTGTAGTAGTTCCCTCACAGATGGTGTATGAGGGGCCTGATGTGGTGTAGTACCTCACAGATGGTGTTATGAGGGGCCTGATGTGGTGTACTAGTTCCCCACAGATGGGTGTATGAGGGCCTGATGTGGTGTAGTACCTCACAGATGGTGTTATAAGGCATCACATGGAGCAGTAATTCCTTCACGGATGGTGTTATGAGGGGCATCATGTGGTGTAGTAATTCCCTTCGCAGGTGTTATGAGGAACTTCACATGATGCTGTAGCAACTTATTCACTATGCGGTGTCGTGTATAATGGGGACCACTGGTCCGTTGTCACAGGAATTCACTCACTCAAGTGGGTGAGGTGTGGTCCCAGGCCTCTTATCATGGAGTCTCAGGGAATTATCACTGGGTACCTGGGACCTCACTGTGTGAAGGTTAGCTTGGCTCAGACTCAATTGCCAAGTTGTTTTCACTGACTTAAGCACTGTTCACCACTATTCAACACTGGTTCCATTCCCTTCCCCAAATGAAATAGTAACTTCTGGCAGAACTTGTTGATATTCCGGTGGGGAGGAGGGTTCAGGAGGGAGTTATGGGCCAACATAACAGTTGACGCTGCTGCTGAGCAGCCAGGTGCATCTGACCCGGCCGGTGGTCAAGGATGAAGTGTGTGTGTGTGTGCTAATGCCCATACAATTGTGGCAGTCATGATTAAATTGCAGAGAAAATCATCTCAAAACACTGAGGACACAAGAGATTAATCTAACATATCTTTAATTGTCCAATAAAACAACAACAAAAAGAGAGAGAGAGAGAGAGAGAGAGAGAGAGAGAGAGAGATGACAATGTACAGTATATAAGAAAATAAGAAGTCTGCAATAGGGCGGTTGGCATGTGCATGGCAGCTATCTAGCCTCCTTTTAAAATTTTCCAGCATTCTAGCACTTACTACAAAGTTGCTGAGCTTGTTCCACTCGTCCACCACCCTATTTGTGAACCAGTTCCTTCCTATTCCCTCCTAAACCTAAACTTATCCAACTTAAACCGCGTCCTCAGTTGTGTTCTGTGCCTCCACTAGGGGAAAGGTCAGGGGCAGGTTAGCTCGAGGGATAATTATCAGGTATGGCCAGCGTTGTGGTCTGGGGTCTGCCAGTTTGTTGGCTAGAATGGGCCATCAGAAGAATTGGAAGGGCCAAGGAAGGAAAGGGGCCACGTTGGGGCGATTAAAGAGATAGAGGATTGAAGGGAGCAGGGACAGGGAAAGCCAGTGTCCTGACGAAAATCAAGCTGGCGTGGAAGGTTGTAAGGAGAGGAAGACCAAACTGGTGATGAAGAAACACACCAGGATACGTCAACGACGACATCAGCGGCTAAGTGTGCCAACTCGTTCAGTCGCCAGTACAGACGAATTGAACGTTAGTACAGTCAGGGGACAGGGCTGACAAGGAAGGTATAAACACTTTAATTGTTGGTGACTCACAGGTAAGGTACTTTGGACAGGGGCTTTTTGTGGTAAACCACCAAATGGATGAGGGTGTGTTTGCAGGGGCTGGGAGGTGGGGATATAGTTGACGGGATGGACAATATCTTGTCTGGTAATGGGAACAAACCCGCTATACCCTTTTCGATTGCAGAGGCAATGATATTAGTGCGATTAATAGGAGTGAGGAAGCTTCTTGATAAGTTTCAGACGAGCTATAGATCGTATTAGAGGACTAAGGAGGGATCCCTAATATCATATGCGTAGGTATTATGCCTAAGAAGGAGAGGTTGGCAGTGAATAGTTTATCCCAGGCAGTTCGTGTAAGCGATGATGCGAATGTACCGAGTCAATGTCATTAAATTCAAGACAACTGGGACCTTCTCGCGGCAGAGGACCTTTATGTTGGGGATGGGAGTGCCTGTCTAGGGATGGAGTAGCAACCCTGGCTGCAGGGCTCTGGGGGCAATTCAAAGATATGAAGTCTTTAAGCTGCTAGGGGAACATATGAGCACAGGGGTGGAGGAGACTGCGGTAGGGCGAGGGTAAACAAAGTGAAGATTGCAGGGAAATAGTCTTGGGGGTAGGTGACAAAACTAGAATTGGAGGCGGGTTTAAACTAAGCCTTGATGGGGACTCAGGAACAGGCTAACTAAATGCTTCTTGTGAACAGTAGAAGTATGAAAACAAAATGGTGTGATATTAGGGCCTTGGTAGCAGAAAAATCGATATAATAGCATTCATTGAAGCGTCAACCCTGAGCTGCGTGAGTTAGAATAACACCAAATTGCTTGCGGGTTACAAGTTTCCATACCGACAGGAAGACCAGGAAAAAAGGCGAGGAGTAGCAATCTATGGTAGGGATAAATACAAGGTGAAATAAATAAGAAATAAAAACTGAGCGAGGCCAAAACAATATGGATAGGAGCAATGGAGCGGTAAGGGAGGAATTAATCACCCACAGAGGAGTAATATAGGCCTGCAATCTTGATAGTCAATGGCTGACTTATCTGCAGGATGAAATGCTTGGGGCTTCCATACACAACAAGTCTGTATAGTAGGCGACTTTAACCTTGGCCAAATAGATTGGACTGACCTTTACAGGTAACTTTCAGAATCAGAGGATTTTCTCGAGGCGATCAGGACTATTTTCTAGAATCAACATATAACTTGAACCCACCTGAATTAATAAGATACTTCGATTTAGTTTTTGTCAAACAGAAAACTCATTAGCAATTAATGGGGTAGGGAGCGAACTTGCAAACAGCGATCACAAAGAAATTAGATTCAGTTAGATTTTCAGGGCAGGCGTGGAAAATTCCACTAAATTTTCCAGATTTCAGAAGGGCAAAACTTTGACAGTTTGAGGCAGCTGAGGAGAGAGAGGGGTGCCGGCGGCGTGAACCACAGATGACACCCGACCAATGAGAGATCTGAGATTGCGGTTCCACGACGTTTAAGTAGGTTACTTAATGCACAAGGCAGAACACTTTTCCATACAAAACTCAGATCGACTAATGACCTAAATGGATAAATAATTATTTAAAAGAGACATCATTTGGCCAAAGGGAAGGCTATGTCGGGTAAGGATAAATCGTAGGCGAAATTTACCTCCGGGTTAATTATAATTTGTGTGTAGTATAGGGTTAAAACCGAGATAAGGAAGCCAAGAGAATATGGTAAGGATAGCAAGGAGGAGAACAAACCCCAAGGGTTCTGCAAATGTATCAAACTAAAACAAGGCTAAGCTGATAGCGACAGAATGAGCAATAATTTGAATAAATATTTTTTCAACAGTTTTCACCACGAAAATTTTGGCAGAGTACCGAGGCACTTTGACTCAATTCAGAGACTGTGAAGAAACAAATTAGCGAGGAATGGTAGTGACTAGTAGCGATGTTAGTCAGCAAATAGACAAGCTTTAAGCCTAATAGGATCACTGGTCCATTCAAGAGATATTTGCCCAGAGTATTAAGGAATGTAAGGAAAGGCTTAGTACCGTTAAGGATTGTTCCCAACATGTCCTTAAAAGCAGGTGTAGTACCAGAATCCTGGAGGATGCCCGAATGCTAATACCGATTTTTTCAGAAAGGATGAATGCTATCCTCAACTACACGCTTAATCAGTCTAACATCAATGATAGGCAAATTACTGGAAGCTTAATCATTCAAACTCTGTTCGAAATCACCTGGAGAAGCACCACGTTGATCAATGATTCCCAGCATGGCTTCATAAGCGGAAGTTCATGTCTTAATCTGTCTTATTCTTTTTCATCGGTTTTGAATGTCGATTGGGCCGAGGGGCACAATTATGATGTGGTATATCTGGCTTTGGCAAAACCTTGCCTGACAGATCCCAGAACTAATTGAAGGTAGAAGCACATGTCAAAGGTAATATCCTTAAATGGATTGGTGTGGTTAGAGGACAGGAAACAGCCGAGTGAGCACATTAATGGCACTAAGTCCCATTGGAACCTAACCTCACAAATTATAGGTTCCCAAGGCTCAGTACTTGGATATTATTATCTAATATATACATAAACGACATAGATATAGACAGCAACATAAACTAGGTACGTGACACTAAAATAGGTACGTGTTATTAAGTGATGAGGACTCCACAAAACACAGGAAGATTTCATTTTCAGAATGGTCGAAAAATGGCAGATGAAATTCGTGGACACCATGTAGTACTCAGTATAGGAATAGCCAAACAGGAAACCAAGATACCAGATGAGAACAGCGATGCCTTAGAAATCAACAAGACTCTTGAGAGAGATTTAAGGTAATGATAAGTAGGAACCTTAAGCCAAGTAAACAATGTGTTTTGCTGCGTAACAAGGCTAATAAGTAGCAGGTTCATACAAGAGTATTTAGTTACGAGCTAAGCGGGTGTCTTCACGACTTGTATCTTATAACTGTGAGACCACACTAGTTACAGTTCAGTTCTGGTCACATACAGAATGGATATAGACCCTTGGAAAGAATTCGGGGAGAATATTAGGAACTAATCCTGGGCATTGGAACCTTAGGTATATAGAGACAGATTAAGAATCTTAATTTGTGTACTCCCTCGAGGCGTGAAGCAAGGGCGACCTGATGGAGGTGTATAAAGTGGAAGGCAGGGCTAAACAAAGGACATTACAAAGGGTACCCAAACTATCCAACCAGAACAAACTCATACCAATGGTTTTAAAATTAGACAAATTTAGATTTAAGTGAAATAGGTAAACACTGGTTTGGTTGAAATTGCTCCTGTCGAGAGTTACTACCACTCTCTATCATCCATGAATCTATCTAGCCTCCTATTGAAACTTTCCAGAGTTCCTGCACTTACTACAAAGTTACTAAGCTTGTTCCACTCGTCCACCACCCTATTTATGAACCAGTTCCTTCCTATCTCCCTCCTAAACCCAAACTTATCCAACTTAAATCAGTTGCTACGAGTCCTATCCTGCTCGGATATTATAAAAACTTTATTTATATCTCCTTTATTGATTCCTTTCACCCACTTAAATACTTCTATCATATCTCCCCGCACTCTTCGTCTTTCTAGGGAATGTAAGTTTAGTTTCTTTAACCTATCCTGATATGGAAGGTTTCTACGTCCCGGAATAATTTTCGTCATTCTTCGCTGCACCGACTCCAGTGAATTGATATCCATTCTATAATAAGGGCACCAGAACTGAACCGCATAATCGAGGTGCGGCCTGACTAGCGCAAGATATAGTTGCAATAAGACCTCTGCACTCTTATTACTTACACTTCTAGATATAAAACCTAATACTCTGTTTGCCTTATTTCGAACATTAAGGGCACTGTTTTCTAGGCCGTAGGTCCGGGCTTACAAGTACCCCTAAGTCTCTTTCACAAGTCGACTTCTCTAGGTTGATGTTGTTAAGGCTGTATACATTGACAGTATTTGTTCTTTCAATATTAAGTACGCTGCACTTGCTAATGTTGAATTTCATTTGGCATTTTTCTGACAACTCCTGCAGTTTATTTAAATCCTCCTGTAGTGCATTTGCATCCTGCCCTGAATTAATCTGCCGCCCTATTTTGGTGTCATCCGCAAACTTGCTTATGTCACTGCTGATTCCAGTATCTAGATCGTTTATGTAGATTATAAACAGGAGTGGGCCCAGTACTGACCCCTGGGGAACCCCACTGGTTACACAGCCCCACTCAGATTTAACACCATCTACGCTGACCCTCTGCATTCTATCGGTGAGCCATGATTTTATCCAATTTAAAACTTTCCCCTCAATACCATGAGCCTTAACTTTTATCAAAAGCCTCTGATGTGGTACTCTGTCAAATGCTTTGCTAAAGTCTAAGTAAATAACATCGTAATTTTCGCCATTATCTACTACCTAGAAGACTTTCCTAAAAAACGTCAGCAGATTTGCTAGACAAGATTTTCCCTTTGTAAACCCATGTTGAGAGTCATAGATTAATTTGCTTTTCTCTAAATGTGATCGGATGCTATTTGCTATAATTGATTCAAGAAATTTCCCCACTACTGATGTCAAACTGATCGGCCGGTAATTTGACGCTGATGCTCTGTCTCCCTTTTTGAATATGGGTACTAGATTTACCTGTTTCAACAAGTCTGGCACAACTCCAGTGTCTAATGATTTTGTAAATAAATTTACGTGGGGTCCGCTAATCTGTTCACTACACTCTTTCAAGACTCGAGGGAAAATTTCATCCAGCCCTGGGGATTTTGTCTTCTTTAACGTATTTATTTTCTTAAGAACATCCTCTTTACTGATAGTGATATTCTTTAATTTCTCTTCTTCATTTCCCCTAAATATCAGTTCCACCTCTGGAATTTCCTCGTGAATTTCTTCTGTGAAAACTGATAAAAAGTAGCTGTTTAATGCTTTGCCTATTTCCTCACTGTCATCGATCACTTCCCCTCTCTCTGACTTTAAAAGCCCAGCTTTGTCCTTGACCTTTATCTTATAGACCTGGAAAAATCCCTTGGGATTCGCCTTGGATTCTCTTGCTATCCTGATTTCGTAGTCCCTCTTTACCTTCCTTACATTTTTCTTAACATTCCTAGATAGTTCATTATACATATTTCTTATAAATTCCTTTCTTTATTCCTATGTCATGTTTAAGTTTTCTGGTCATCCACCTCGGCTCATTCTTATTTGACCTAATTTTTCTGTATGGTATATTTTGTTCTTGTGCTTTACATAATATATGAGTGAATATATTATAGTCATGATCAATTGTTGTGTCACCTATGACCTCACCCTTTCCTACTGGGGACTGACCTGACTGTTCCCAGGCGACCTCACCTAGGTACCTTCTTAACCCCTGATAATCCGCCAATCGAAAGTTTGGGACTCTGACCATATTAACACTATGCCACTATGACGCTGTAACCCGTGACTCCAACCACCACTACAAAGAGTATCAATCTCTGACTCGATCTCAACAGATTATATACATGAGACTGCACCTAGGGTACAGGTACCTATGGGAGTACATTGGCAACCCTGAACCTGGCCGCACTGTTTGTAAACTTTGTGGCCAACCCGACTCTCACACCCTCCGTCACTACATCCTCACTTGCCCGATGACCTCCTCCTACAGGTCCCCAGCCGTTACCAACACCTCTTCCCTCCCTGACCAGATATCCCTCCTCCTAGTCACAGGCCTGGCACTTGACATTATTAGGGACCTGCCACGCTTTGCTATAAACAGATGAAATGTACCGGGAATTTCCCCTCCCCCCCACACACTCATCATTCTGTCACTTTATGTAACTTGCTGACAAAACCCATGATCCTTCAGGCTTCCACGCCCTTAATGCATGAGTCATAAAGGCAAGCATGAACTCCGCATGCTTCCCAGTTGGGCACTGTAAACGCTTCTGCGCTTCACCTTGCACAGGATGTAAGGGGGTGCCCAATAAACTAGCCCCCTCCGGGGCAATCTGTAATCTGACCATATATTGTCATTGTTTTTCGTTTCCCAATTTAGGGTGAACCTCATTTCTCTGTGATCACTGTTACCTAGTTACGAACTTATTGAGCAACTTTTGTGTTTGAAACGTTGTTGAGTGATAGACAATTAGAAAATAACATATTGATGAAAGTATTTTTATAATTTTATAAAACTGATATTCAGATCAGTGATTTAAATGATTCAATATGGCGAAGTACGGTAGAGCGGGTTCTACGTTAACAAGAACAACCTCTTGAATAATATACAAAATATAAATCATTACTTTTCTTAGACGATAAACGTTGCAGAAATCGACTTGCTAACAACCATCAGTGCTGTGTCTGCACACTACACTGTATTCATCGATGTATCGATTTTATGGAAGTCCTCAACAATAACACTGAAAAATATGGCTCTGGCGTTGTGATGTATCACTACCGTGTTTCATCTTGTCAAACTTGGTCTTTCTTCCCTCACTTATAATATACACCAAGTTCTTTACTTTTTGGTTCTCATCCTGTCTACCTCCATAAGTATTGCTCAGTTTGTGGGGTACTGTCTGTGAACTGTGTCATGAGAAACTGACTTACTGCCATCAACAGCTCGTTTACTGTTGAAGGCCGTTTGACATTATACTAAGCTTCAACAACTAAGGTTAAACTTTAAGCGCGTAAAAAGGTTAGTAATTACACTCACACAGTATATCAACAATAAAAAATCGTGAGTGATAGAAGTCGCTGGATTAAAGTTCATACGCCACCCTTCTGCTCGTCACATACGCATTCTGATACATTTACCGAATCCTGTTTTAAATCTTTCAATCTGACTATAATTTAACAGGCTAATCAATTCAAGTCTTTCATTTTTAATAGTTAATAATCAACAAACCACAACTTCTCATACCACCATTTGTCACTCTCGGCTTTCACAACGCTCCATCAATACATGGATTGAGTAGATTAGCCCCACACCCCCTGTTAAGTCCTCACACTGAGCGCGCCTCTCACACCCCCTGTTAAGTCCTCACATTGAGCGAGCCTCTCACACCCCCTGTTAAGTCCTCACACTGAGCGCGCCTCTCACACCCCCTGTTAAGTCCTCACATTGAGCGAGCCTCTCACACCCCCTGTTAAGTCCTCACACTGAGCGCGCCTCACACCCCCTGTTGTCCTCACACTGAGCGCGCCTCTCACACTGAGCGCGCCTCTCACACCCCTGTTGAGTCTTCACACTGAGCGAGCCCCCACACCCCTGTTAAGTCCTCACACTGAGCGCGCCTCTCACACCCCCCTGTTAAGTCCTCACACTGAGCGCGCCTCTCACACCCCTTGTTAAGTCCACACTGAGCGCGCCTCTCTCACCCCCTGTTAAGTCTTCACACTGAGCGCGCCTCTCACACCTGTTGAGCTGAGCGAGCCCTGTTAAGTCCTCACACTGAGCGCGCCTCTCACACCCCTGTTAAGTCTTCACACTGAGCGCGCCTCTCACA